GGCATTAGGGGTGAGCTCGATGGCATGGTCCCATGGTTTTCGTGGGGGTAGTTCGTCAAAGTTTTCCTTTGCGAACACATCTCGGAATTCCTGGTAGTGTTCTGATACTATTTCCTCAAAGGTCTTCGCCTCCTTCGCTTGATGGGCTTTGGCGGCTAACTCATTTGCTTTGCTTCCCATGGCACGAACATGGAAGGCTTCTTTCGAAGTCTATTACCAGGATAGTGTCCCCTTCTTCTACTTCCATTCCCCAGGATTGTTCTGGATCTTCGTCAGGTAAAAGGAAGGGTATTTTGCGACACGAGCATTGGGCTAGGGTGACGGCTCCTGTTTTCCAGTCGATAATGGGATTATGGCATTTGAGCCAGTCATGCCCTAGGAATAGTGATACGTTTCCTAGGTCTACGACGGCTAAGTCGATTTTCTCGCTATGATCTCCAATAGTCATGCGTAGTTCCACTACCTCTGTGATGTCTCCTCCTTTGTTCCTGCTGCCATCGGCATTGTACACTGCCTGTGCTTTGGGCAGTTTTACTGTGTTCATTTGTTGTTCCTGTACGAATGCTCGATTTATGCAGCTCCCGGTGCATCCGCTGTCTACCAGGGCGTCGACCGCTCGTACTTGAGAGGTATCCAGGGTTTCAAGTTGGATGCGGATATTGACGCTCCTTCCTCTGCCTCCTCGGATGTACTGTGGCGGAATGCGTAGGTCCTGCATGTTTTGTAGACACTGTTCCCATTGTCTATAGGTTTCGTTGGAGGATCCGATGAGGTCCAGGACGAGATCCTCGTCTACTTCGATAAGTCGTCTGGGATGTACCCACATTCGGAGGGTGGCGAGCCTTCCTTCCATGGTTTTTTCCTGTCTCATTTTTCACCTTACCCATTCGGCGCTATGTGGCTTGAGCCACCCTCTGTCCCATTTGTCATCGTAATACTCTTCTTCCAATTCTGTTACTTTGTAGTCTTCCGGGTACTCCTCAGTGTGGATCACCGGGTCTTCCCCTCGTGACTTGAGGCTTTGTTGGTAACTGTAGTCGTCTTCCTCATCGGGCACTTCTTCGAGAGAAACAGTTTTTTTATTGCAAATAGGGGGTTCACATAATGGTCCCACCGACCCACCCACTGGGGAACACGAGCCCCCGGTGCCATTATGTGTTAGTGACGAAGGGGGTAGACATACCGTAAAGGGCTGTGAAGGGATGGGGTCCCCGGTCATCTGGACTGTTCTTTGCGGGGCAGCAGTTTTCTTGCTGGGGATTCGCGTTCCCTCTTGCGGCTCTGTTCCACGATGGGGGCAGTCGGTCACTCGTGGCTGGCGCATACATTCCGCCCCCGAGTGGGATTCTTCACTGCTCACCTTGGGCTCGGCCGCTCTTCCTCTGTTCCCTGTGCCGTCATCTGCCCCCGATGGAGTGAGGTTGATCCCGAATATCCTGCCGCCTTGCGCAGCCTTTGCCGCTTGTGCTTTCGCACCGGTGGCCGAGGATCTTGAGTGGGGTTCTTCTTCGTGCACGGTGGTAATCCCCTGTACACCATTCTTTTTATGCGACTGGGTAATTTCATTTTGTGAATGCGTGGGAATTGTGTCATTGCCTCGAGATACTACATGCGGTACATTAGTCTGGCCTGCAGGCTTCTGTGATGCACCACTGAATGAAATTAAGTCCTTAGCCGACGCGCATTTGTCGCTTATGCCGCCAGCTCGTCTTTTACCTCCTCAATCTTCGACGTTGAGGCTTCCGCTTCTTCATCTTTGACTACTTGTTGGTACATTGCGCAAATCTGGGCTCGGGAGAACTTGGGCTGGTGCTTGACGAGCCAAGTACTTTCGTCCTTGGGGCACTTGTTGTCCTGTTTCCGATGGCCCTTGTGACCACAGCGGAAGCATCGCCCTTCCTTGCGGAGGCGATCTATCTCCATGGGTTGACCTTGGCCTCCATACGTGGTTCCTGTTCCTGTCTTCTTGTCACCCTGGGAGTTCCTGGAGCTTCTGGCTTTTCCCGTTCCCTTGTTCTGCTGGCCCTGCATTCCTTGATTTCTGCCTGCATCTTCTGCTAGTCCCACATGGTAGTTATAATCCATTTGTTCTACCCGGAACTTCCATTCTGCATAGGTGCGTGGAAGCGCGGTTCCGGTGGTGTGGATCGCGGTCTTGACGTTCTTTCGGATTGCCGGCTTGAGTATCTCGATCATGTACTCCTCATTGTGACGTTTTCTGGACTCCTTTGCTAGACGTTCAAAGTCCTGGAAAAATTCCTTCGCCGATTTGTAGGTATTTTGTCGGATTCGCTTGAACTCCTGTAATTTGAGTTCTACCTCCGCATCGGTCCGGAATTGGTCTTCTATGATCTGCCAGGAATGTTGGCCATGCGGGATAGCGCAGGTATCCGCACGTTTCGTCGTAGTACTCGTCCCTGGCGTGATTCCACCAGTGCAGAGCCTTATCCGCGAATCGGAACGTACAGAACACCACCCTGTTGGGGCTTTGTCCATGCAGTGTTCATTGTGAACTGCTGCAGGAATACATTGAAGTAGTCCTCGCACTGGTTGAGGAATCTGTCTATGTCACTGGATTCCCCTTTGAACTTTTCGGGGGGTTCTGCCAGTTGTGGTTTCACCTGCCCCCAAGGATTCGTATTGGCCACTCCGACTATGAAGGGTGGTGGCGTGTTTGGCGGTTGTACTGGGTCCGCGGGGATAGGTATTGCTGCCGGTCGGGGTAGTGATCATAACGCCGGATCGTGATGCAGGGAAAGGGGTCCTTGCGGTGCAGGTGGTGGTACCACGGGAACTGCTGCGGCTGCCCCGGTACTTCCTGGTGTTCCTGCCGCTGCGAATAATCGACTAGGGTCAACGTACCCTGTCCTTCTAAGAATGGATAGGTGGCTTAGATCCACCGTACTTCCTGCTCGACGCTTCTGATGGAACTGGCACCTGGTACCGTTCTCTGGGGTCCGTGTAGTTGTCCGGGTGTACTTGGTTCCACAGGATATTCGTGTGGAAAATGGCTTCTCGGTAGAGCACCTGGGCTCCAATCCTTGAGTTCTTTTCCTTTTGGAAGTACCTCCCCTGTGGTGAACCGTTCCACGATATTTCTCTCGGTAACTTTCGTTCTGTCCAGCGCAGCATCTCTAAATATGTCATATTCATTAGCTCAGCCTCGGTAGGCTCCCAAGCTAGATCCTTCCATGAATTCTGGGATGACATCTTCGTCTCCATACTCTCCGACCCTATGCTGCTGCTGTAGGTCGAAGTCCGCCCTATTCCAGGGTTCTCGTAAATTTCTCCTTCTTCTAAGTCCGATTGGTCGGACTCGCTCGAAAGGCTCCGTGCTTCCTGTGACGATTCGGTTCCAGTTGCGAATGATTCTTGCCCACTCATTGACCCTGAGTATGACTTGATCGAAGTCTGGTCTTCGGGGTCTATTCCATACCCAGGGTGCGATGAAAGGGATGGGGGCTGCATGGGGGTGTTCTGGTGTGAGAGGGTAGATGGCGTAGGGGATGACGGAGGCAGGGGCCTCGATTCCTTCGTACATGAGCCATGCGTCAGCGTAGTCCTGTACTTGTCTGCATATATCACAGCTGGCGTCGGCAGTCGTATGTGGGTCCGCACTGGTCGAGCTCGGTAGTGGCTTCCCCTGCCCTATCGTTGATGATGATTGGGGTGTTTGGGCGCGTGATGAGGTTGAGGTAGCTTCCTTCATCGTCTGAGTCGTCGCGGGTGTAGTGGTAGCCCCACGTCTCCCCTCTTGAGTCGAGTCTTGGAGGGGACCAGTTGCTGCGTGGCCCTGGGAGCTCGTCGCTGTTACTGTCCTCCTCTGTATCGCTGCCTTCTTCATCTGGACTGCTTCCAGTTCCATCTTCAGGCGTTCTTCTTTCTCCCAAATGATATCTAAGCCCTCTTTGATAGAGGCGCTGTCCGTATGAATCATACCCAGGGTTGGTGGCTGAGTTTTCAGTTGAAGTGGGAGAAGGGGCGCTCCAGGGGTTACTTCCTTCGCTTTCCCCTTCGCTTTCTTCCTCAGTAATGGGAGAGAGAACATGCTCGTCCATCCCCCTTTCATAGACTCCTCGCTCTTCTTCTTCTTCAACGATTGGGCCTCTTTGTGCAGGCCATCCTTCCATCTCGGTGTTGGACTCACTGGACTCGTCTGAGTCGGAGTCTTCTGTGATCCACTCGTCATCGGTGATGAAGATGAAATGGATGATGGGGTCGGGCCTGTCGTCAACGTAGTTGGGAGGGGGTGTGTTCAGGTCATCTAGCCTCCGGGTTGGGGGCTTCGACGGGGATAGTTTCTTCAGAGACTGGCTCCTGGGTTCGTCTGTATTCATATCCATATAGGAATGCGAGATAGGCTACGGCAATAAAGCCTTGTAGTCCAAAGAGGTCTGTGAGGTATTGTTCGACAGGGTTCATTCGTTACTGCTCGACAACTGTGGTTGTTGTTGAAGAGTAAGAAAGTCTCGAACTAATTGTTAGCGACCGATTTCACAAACAAGATCAAACAACTAAGCGTGACTCGCACTTCGGTCAGGCACTTTGTGTTGTCCTGCAGGTTTGCGTTAAGGGAGCTATCGCTTAGTTGAGTGAGAGTGAGTTCAGACTAAGTTATCAGGGTGAATAAACTTTAGTTCGAGACTGAGGTTTAAGACCTACAGTCGAGCTACTTAAATACAGTTTGGGTTGTGCTAAATATACTACAAGTGTCTGCAATGGTGCGGTAAACGTACTGAACCCTCATGGTGAAATGCGATCAAGTCCAGGAGAATTAGCATAGCAGGATTACAATGGAGCTGATAAGATAAGATAAAGCATGAAATCGTAATAGCTTCCCTGATCTAATCATTGTCAAAAGTCAGGCGCTAAGCGCTTCTCATCCGATATAGACAGTCAGTGAAAGACCTACTGAGAATTCAAGGTATTTGAGTTTCCTGACTGACCAAAATCGCCTATATCCCTTCCCTTCCTGGCCCCTTCCTTCCCCAAGTTTCATCATGAGCAATGAAATCCCCCGTCGTTTGCAGTGCATCGGACCCTGCGACTGTCAAGAGTTCTTCTCTAATGTCACCCAATTGCAAGGTCCAAGCCATCTCCAGCACCTGGTTTGTCTCGCATGTGACCATCCATGGTATTCCCACCTCGCACCGGATGTCACCGCTACGGATCCCTTATTTGCCCACCGACGTAGAGGGCTACCGACCAAAAATTGCCAGGGTTTTTACCCTCTGGTAAGGGCGGTACGTTTGATTCTTTGTCATTAGTCTCAGTGCCTGACTATTTTCGCATTGTCGTCACGTCGGTAGGTCATTCTGAGCCCACAGTGGAATCCTAAAACGCTGTGTGTCTGCAACGGAGAGTGGAAGTCCCACCTCTCCTACCATGCAGGGTATGTCATACGCTTTGTCGTCTTGTACCATTGTTGACATTGTTCATATCCATATCCGCAGAACCCCTGTTGAGAGGTTAGCAATGCCACAGAGTTTTCGCCAACTAGATTTTGCAGTGCTGACTTTTCTTGCAGTGCTACAGCAGGGTCCCAGGTTCGAACCGACCCTCCTGTCCCAACCCCGGTTCCTCTGCCTGCACCTGCACCTGCACCTGCGGTGCCGGCCTCCCTAACCAAAAGAATAGTTGGGCTGCCGCCTCCCATCGCCGCAATTCGAAGCTTGGCGACTCTTCAGCCTGAGGAAGCGAACCAACTCCGATTGGCGGCTGCTCTGCATACTCTACCTCAACATCAGCCAGTGGCATCCCACAGCAAGACAAAGGTCAAGAACAGAGCCAAGGTGACTGGAGCCAATCCCACCCCCAATCGTCTGGATTGTGATATCATGATCTGTCCTAACGTGGTGAGTCTGACATGCCGGGAATTAAATCGTTCTTACCTGCAGTCAATCCAGGGCAATCCATCCCATGGGCCAGAGGACGGTTATGGCTATCAGCAACTGTGTCTTCATGTTGATCAAACTACCAATGCCTACGACAAGGTCTTTATTCCCAACTGGCTGTTCGTGCATGCGACTTTTCAGCCTGGTGACCTCCTTCTCACCCAAGTATACAACGAGTTGAAGATGGCGGCCCGTCTGGGTAAGTACACGGTACCCGGACTGGAGGAATTTGACATCCACAATGAACCCATTGATTATGATTCTGAGTTTTCTTGGGTGTTCCTTTCCTGCAAGCGAGACGGCCCTCATTACCGTTTCTCTCCTGATCCCAACCTCGGACCTGGACCTGACAGATTTAATGCCATCGCAATCCTACAGATGGGATGCTCTTTTGTACCTTTGCGAGGAAATCGGGGAGATCGTTTCTTCCTTGTGGTTGGTACGTATACATTGTCCCCTCAATGTATGGTTGGCGCCATCTGACTGCTCCATTCAGCGCCTCGTTTCGGCAACATTACTGGTCCCATTGAGAAGCTGTTGGAACCCGAGTCTGGCGTTGTCGAACCCGAACAGGATCATGACTGTTTCGCCTATCGCGTCCTTTACGAGGCCGGACATGGTTTCTACAGAAAGCATGCAATCCGCGGTAACAATCCTCTTCCGGCTTGGCCATCCAGAGTTACATGTCTTTCCACCTGCCCCCTCGGCTTCGAAGAAGAACATGCGAATGATAGCGTGCTAATTGAGGAGGTAACCACTGACCTCACACCAGACGGCATTCTGAGGATGACTCCCGGCCCTCGATCCTCAAGTTGGTCACCTCCTCCTGTGGAAACGGTGCTTCGTCACTGAGTCACGCAGCGTCACTCCCTCCTGGACCGGTCCTCGACGACCAGGCTCTGACCATCGTACAATCACACATGACTGGCAGCGGGCTACCTACAACGAGGTCATCCATCGATCCATATATGAGGCATTCAAGATATCCGGGACGAGTGTTCCCACTGTCGCAAAAATATTGTGGGACTGGTTCCTGCACACGGTCGACAAGCCTGGTTCGACCTTCCCCCAGGATGATTATGCAGAGGTGACAGTGTTCACTCTCACTGAGCCCAATTTCGACATGATCAGCCTCTTCCACCAGTTTACCTGGAATCACCAGTTCAGAGTGTACGTCCCCTCCCACCATGTAATTATAACCTCTGAATGAGTTTCATTAGTGGAGAAGCCATAGGACCTGGCCCTGAGCATACCAGCTGGCAGGCGGCACTGAGTCTGATGGTTGCAGACCCCCGATACTGGCATCAGCGGGGTGATGGCACTTATACCTTTGTGCTGAGCGGTTCATGTAGTGCTGATGACGATCGATGAAGATATCTCACAGTGAGTGGGCGATTGATTGCTCTTGCATTGCTGCACCTCACCCAGGGCTTTGTAACCTCACCCTGGGTTGTCCTGGCATTGGTTGGGGGGGTCGATGCATTTGGCGCTCTTACTCTGGACAAAATCAAGGCCATCTCCCTGTCAGATGCTGCGACGGTCAGTTGCTGGTACGATGTTGATGCTTCCACCCGTCTCGACACGTCCTATGCCAAGTTTGACGATCTCAGAGCTCTGTTTGCTGATGCATTGTCGGCGGATGTGAGTAGTTCGACACTCTTAGTGCCATGTAGTGCTCTAACTCGCAGCAGGTCATGGAGTTTGCTGCGCCCCGATCACAAGCGGTACACAGAGGCTTGTTGGCGCAACTGAACGCTCACATCCTCCTTGATGATGACATCTTTTGGACACACCCCGACCTGGACGCCCTTTGTTCGGGGTTTGACTGGTGCCTAAGCTGGGATACCTCTGAGGGGACATCCTTCCTGAAGGTAGATGTCAGCATTTCTTGTTATTTAATCCATCATCTGGACATGTACACTCAGGTTATGCAATCGTTCCCCAGGATGCCGCTAATGGGGCGCTTGTACACTCCCTTTATTGATATCAACGAGGTAATTGAAAGGCTGAGATATGAGGGCCCCCAGTTAGAAGAGTTGCCGATGGATGTGTATCAACGTTCGGTTGTGCTGCTCTTCCGCCATCGGCTCGAAGGATATCTAAGAGGTAGCGGACATCCACCTTCCGCTCGTGGAGAGTTAGTCACATCGACCATTTTCAATCAAGAGAAAGACGATCCTCTAGTTTGTGGGCGCTTGCTTCTCGACGCTACCTGGGCGGTACCCCGTCCTCCCATGCAGCCTCACTGGAGCATCACAGTGAGTCTGCCTTCGTACTCCCCAGACGTGGACGTCAGGCTAACAGTCCCCGTGCCACTCATCACAGTTTATGTACAGGTTCAAAAGCGCCAATGAAATGGTGAGCGCAGCGCATGGTTGACTTGTACGTGTTAACTCTGCTTCATCAGGTTGGCACCTCCCTCAGTCTACATACATGCACTGGCGAGGTAAATGTCGTCTTCACACCGGAGCTCGTCAGTATGCTCGCGCTCCCCGGTAACCCAGACAACCATCCGTCATATGGCTTCTTTCATGGACAGTGCCTGCGTTCGGTTCAACAGTACTCCTGTGTTTGAGGAGACATATAGATCTGAATTTGCGCTCGAAACGGGTAGTTGGAGCCTTGCGTTTAAAAGATTACGCTGAGCAGAATGATACATATAGAACTTTTCCAATTGCATGAGAATGTCCCGAGCCTTTGGCACCCAATAACTCTTGAAAGAAATGGCAATTCTCATTGACTTAAATCGTGTTGGAAATAAGGACCACGCTGGTACGGGTCTGGGTTCACTGTGAAAACCAAATAATAGCGACAGGAGTCACTACGGCATTGACCCTACAATATTGCAGGACCATATCCTCCAACGCGTTCCTGATGTGCATCCGAACACCAGTTGTTATCAAACAGCTGTCGCCATCGGCACAATAATGTTGAGCTGTGATTGACCCAGATCTCGGAACGCGACATTCCGATCCAACCAATGGACTCCCAGATAAGTCAAGTTGGGATTTTCCCAGCACACCGACTCGACCTATCCTCCCATGCCCCCCAAAAACAAAAAACGACCTGTGACCAGCCCCGCCTCACCCAAAAACAAGAAAAAAAAGAAGACTCCGCAACCGCCTCATAGTCCACCAGCCCTGATGCGTCGAAGTTCTAGGACCGTGCGCCCTACAACCGCCCCGGACGCTCAACGCCGCTACTGCCGACACACTCCGATGACAGGAACCAGGTCCCTCCAACATATCCAACGCTTTGCAAGAGGCTGGCAAGATACCCGAGCCACCCGCAATTCAGGCCCCATCTCAGTGTACGTCTTCTTGATAACCTTGCATTGTGCAGAGCCCAACTGATCGCGACCGATACATAGTTCGCACTTGGGAAGTTACAGAAGCGACTGCATTGGATGATCTATGTATGATAGTCCAAGCCTCCCTCGCTGCTACCCACGGCGACCAGGCCCGCAGCCCATCCCCTATGAACATTGAAACCGAGGCGGAAGTTCTGGAGCACGTCGACAATCCTCATCAGGCAGACAATGATGCTCCCCTTTTTTTCACCGACTCTTCCTGCAGCCCTTCCCCTGTGAGCCAGAAGGACAATGAGCCTCTCGACGAAGCCTTTCTATACATTGGCTTGTACATTCGCCACAATAAACGTATGGTTTTGGGGGAGGTGTTTTGACCCTCCAAGAGGCAGCCGGGTTATGCAGAGATTCTCCAAAGAGTCCTTGCCCCCGGGGGGTTGCTCAAGTCACTGATGGACTATGCGTGGACTACCCACCTCGGTGTCCAGTATTACGTGGAGACCTCCTTCAGAATTTTCAGGTTGGTTTGAGAATTTCATGAATGGTTTAACGTGGATGCCATTGGGTCCGGTGAAGCCAGCTTCTGAGGGACTTCTCACTCAACTACAGCTGGTGCCTACTCCCATGTCCGTGTATGAGGAATGGGGTTCTACAACGCCTGCCATTACCTATGTCATGTATATCTATCCCGAGGTTAGTCCTAAGCTTCTTCATGGCACAGCCAATAGATCTTACCTTGATGCTGCACAGTTGCTCACTGTTTCCCTTCTGAATCTCCCTCTCAGTCAAGCCGGCGTCATCGATTCGGTCGTCCTGGTCGCTGGTGAATCCAGCTCGATGACTGAACCAGAGCTGGCAGAGGATCCTCTTGTAACTTCCACGCCACCTCCATCTGCGCCCGCCACAAGGCTCGAGGATTCTTGGTTGACAGGGCTGTTAGCCCAGCAGATCGGTTCGGCAATTGAGGAGTATCAGATCCGCAAGCAAAGTAAAAGATACGGTACTGCGTACATGGCTTTGATGCAGGATGCCCTGCTCACCAAAGCGGAGAATACTATGTTCGCCGCAGGACGTCAGGCAGAAACGTTCGACTACAATGGTATTCAACGTGAAGTCACTGTGATCGATGTGCATGTGGCGCTCTTGGGTCCTCAGAGTACATGGAAAAACCATAGAAGTTTGATTAGGAAGGCTCACAGAGCACACCAGGCACTCCAATTGGTGCATAGTCATGCTCCCAACACCCTGTCAGCAGAAGATTTGACCTGGCTGGAGGAACTCAACGCTTTCTTCGCCACCATGCCGCTCGGCCCAGCAATTACCTATCCTGACATTTCATGCATGGAGTATAGGGCGGCGACACTCAACTTGGCTCGTTTGGAGAGAAAATCGGGCGAAGTGTTGGATAAGTACCACCAAGGCAGAGGAAACTGAGTTTGAGGCGATCGAAGGCAAGGAAGGTAGGATAGATGTACCAGTAGGTACCAGCTTGAAAACTTCATATCTAAATGGGAGGTAGATGTGCGCCTCAACAATGTCGTAGGCTTCGCCCAGTGACTAGTCAGTCAAACTGAGATAGTCGTCTATATGAGGGGGTAAACATGAGGTTCGACTACGTCGTAGACCTCGAGTAGCGACTGGACAGTCCAACTACCTTACCACCATCACTGATATTACAGACGTGAGATCCTTAGTCATGATGTGGCTGCACATCCAGGCCATTGATCATGTGATAGGCAGAGATACATGTCGGCAATGCAGTGGCGGTAACACTACCACCACACCCACCTTGGGAGGGACAGCCACATCCCTCCTGCCTGAGCACCTCCTGCTGACATGGTCGAGAGGTGCCTCTCAGTGTTCCGCTCTGTTCACCGGTGTCGCTCCAATCTCGCAGTAGTCAGACACACCCTTCCAAACCTGTATGGCATATAGGAGACCCTCATCCCTGACACACCTGGCCCCTTGGGCCTTCACTCCAACTCGGATTGGCAATTTCAGTCCTTCACCATCTTCACTAGTATCACTGCCGCCATGTCCGTCGATCCAGTTGCAAATCTTCGTCAGCTGATACTACGAACTCAAACAGGAGACGGTGGTAACTGTACGCACTCAGAATGGAGTTGGGCCCTGCACTCGAGCAACAGAGGTTGGAAATCCTCCGGTTTTTTGAGGCTGCAACCATCATGAGTGCTCTGCGTTATACTCCAACTGCTGGTTCTGACGAGACTCCCACAGCATCAGAACAGTTTTCCCGCCTGTCCGAATTTGCCAGTCTTCAATTCAATATTGAGCGCCTGGTGGAGGCTTTTGACACCGCCCAACATCAATCCAACGACCCTCCCAATCCTGGACCAGTAGTAGCAGTCGCAGCCCGAGCTCAAACTGGCAAGCAGCGGGCGACCGTGAATTGAAATTGACCAGACTTACCTCACACAGACTTTTGTCGAGTCAGGGCTGGCCGCCTACCAAGAGGTGAGCAGCGCGGCTAACTGTTGTACCCGCAGCGTGCAACGCCGATGCCAGGACTATGGGTTGCTGCCACCAGGGAATCCAGTGTATATCGATGAATATGACAATCAAGGACGACGTACCCGTCGTCAATACTGTGGCTCAGGCTGGCCGCCTATCACTAGGCTTACTGACGAGGCCTTGGACGTCATGTTGCATGAGATCTTATTGATCTTTCCTCACTTTGGCAGACGCAAAATCATGGGACATCTGCGGGATCATGGGCATCATGTACCCGAATCACGCATACGAAGCTCCTACGTACGTGTGCATGGCGCTCCCGGACGTTTTGGGGATCATTCATTACATAGAAAACGGTATCATGTGGCAGGTGCTAATTCTCTGTGGCATCATGATGGCCAGCACGGTGAGTATAATCATGATGACCAGCTAGACTCTTAGAAACTGACGACTCGATTGAAGGTTTGATTCGTTATAAACTGGTAATCCATGCGTTCGTGGACAGTAAATCACATCTGGTTACCGTGATCCAAGTACACGACAACAATGAAGCGTCAAGCATTTTAAGGCTGTTTCTTCACGTGTGCGCCAAGCATGGCACCCCCAGTCGCGTTCGTGGCGACCATGGAACCGAAAATGTAGATGTAGCTCAGTGGATGATTGACAATTGAGGACCCGATCGAGGCTCATACATCTTCAGCCGGTATGTGGATCTCTTCGTCCACGGAAGCATGAGACCGAGCTGATCCCCATATTATTAGGAGTGTGCATAACACCAGGATCGAACGACTGTGGTATGAAGTGACCAGGGACTTCGGGATGAAATGGAAAGATTTTTTCCTGGACCTTGAGGTCCACCACGGGCTGAACCACACCAACCCTAATCATATATGGCTCATTCACTTTCTATGGCTGGACGCTATCAACGCTGATGCGCAGGAGTGGGCGGGAATGTGGAACAGTCATCGCATGATGCTGCCGCAAGGTCAACCCTGCACGCCACGGGAAATGTTTCGCTCTAGCATGATCCATGATGGCCCTCGAGGGCTATCGGAACTGTTCACGGTACCCATGGAGGAAGATGTGGAGGACCCGGCAGAGTATGGCATCGATTGGGTTGTCGCGCAGGACCGACAATACATGGAGCACCATCTACTCCATAACCCTCAAGAATGGGACGCAACAAACCCCTTCAGCTCGGGCCCTCCAACCCTCACTCATGTGCCATGCGTGGCCCCCAAATCGCCCCTCAACGAGGAGAGCATACTGATTCTACAGAGAGCGCTCTCCAAGCGTGTAGACTTGCAGTTGCGGTTTATGGACGTTCGTTGTTTGGTGTGGGCAGAAGCGCTCAATCTATGCGACTATCTTTTACGTACCCAGAATGCAGGTTCCGCAAATGTAGCGTTTTAAATCATAAATGATGTGTCACGCCTAATGTACAATTATTGAGGGACTTGACAGACTAGGAGACTGGTGACAGTGTGAAGGTAACTATTACGATTTCGTGCTTTATCTTATCTTATCGACTCTTTCATAATCCTGCTATGCTAACTTTCTGGACTTGATCGCATTACACCATGAGGGTTCAGTGTGTTTATCGCACCATTGCGGACAGTTGTAGTATATTTAGCACAACCCAAACTGTATTTAAGTAGCTCGACTGCAGGTCTTAAACCTCAGTCTCGAACTAAAGTTTATTCACCCGATAACTTAGTCTGAACTCACTCTCGCTCAACTAAGCGATAGCTCCCTTAACGCAAACCTGCGGACAACATAAAGTGCCTGACCGAAGTGCGAGTCACGCTTAGTTGTTTGATCTTGTTTGTGAAATCGGTCGCTAACAATTAGTTTGAGACTTTCTTACTCTTCATCAACAACCACATTGACGAACAGTAATGAATGAACCCCATCGAACAATACCTCACCGATCTTTTCGGACTACAAGGCTTCGTTGCCATAGCCTATCTCGCGTTCCTATATGGATACGAACACCGATGAAACCAGGAGCCAGTCTCCGAAGAAACTATCGCTGTCGAAGCCCCCAACCCGGAGGCTAGACGACAGAACACACCCCCTCCCAATTACATCGATGACCGACCTGACCCCATCATCCACTTCATCTTCATCACCGACGACGAGTGGATCACAGAAGACTCCAACACAGACGAGTCCAGTGAGTCCAACATCGAGGTGGAAGGATGGCCCGCACAAAGAGGCCCAGTCGTTGAAGAAGAAGAAGAGCGAGGAATCTACGAAAGGGGGATGGATGAGCATGTTCTCTCTCCCATTACTGAGGAAGAAAGCAAAGGGGAAAGCGAAGGAAGTGACCCCTGGAGTGCCCCTTCCCCCACCTCAACCGAAAACTCAGCCGCCAACCCTGGCTATGATTCAGACGGACAGCGCCTCTATCAGAGAGGGCTTAGATACCATCTGGGAGAAAGAGGAACTGGCTGAAGATGGAACTGGAAGCAGTTCAGATGAAGAAAGCAGCAATACAGAGGAGGACCACGACAGCGACGAACTCCCAGGGCCACGCAACAACTGGTCCCCTCCAAGGCTGGACTCCAGAGGAGAAACCTGGGGCAACTACTATGCCCACGACGACTCATCAGACGACGAAGGAAGCTACCTCAACCTCGTCACATGACCAAACACCCTGATCATCATCAACGATAGGGCAGGGGAAGCCACTACTGAGCTCAACCAGTGCGAGCCCACATACAACGCCGACGCCAGCTGCGCAGTATGCAGACAAACACAGGACTACGCCGACGCGTGGCGCATGTATGAAGGAATCGAACCCCCTTCCTCAGTCGTCCCCTACGTCATATACCCCCTCGCACCCGAACACCCCCTCACAGCCCCCATCCCCTTCATCGCACCCTGGGTATGGGATAGACCCCTGAAGGCCAGACTTCGATCAGGTCATTCTCAGGGTCAAGGAGTGGGCCTGAATCATTCAAAACTGGAACAGAATCATCACAGGAAGCACTGGAGCCTTTTGAGCAAGTCCGACCAATCGGACTTAGAAGAAGGAGAAATCTACGAGAACCGTGGAATAGGGTCGACTTCAATATGGAGCAGCTACACAGAGCCGGAGAGTATGGAGATGAGGACATCATCCCAGAGTTCATGGAAGGATCTAGCTCGGGAGCCTACAGAGGCCGAGCTTGAAAATATGACATATTTGGAAATGTTGCATTGGATCGAGAAGAAATTACCACGAGAACTCTTGTGGAACGGTTCTGATCAAGGGAGATACTTCCAACAGAACAAAGACTCGCAGGTGGGAGGGCAAGTATTATATCGAGAAACAATCTTCCATACCAACCTCCTATGGAACCAAGTACACCTGGACGACTACACGGACTCCGGAGAACGATACGCGGTACCAGCTAAATCAGAAGCATCAAGTGGAGAAACGGTGGACTTAAGCCACCTATCCATTCTCAAGAGGACAGGGTACGTCGACCCTAGCCGGCTATTCGCAGCAGCAGGAACCCCAGGAAGTGCAGGCGCAGCAGCAGCAGCACTGGTTAACCCTGCGGTTCCCGCACCCACACCGCAAGGCCCCCTATCCCTGCATCATAACCCTGCATTACGATCATTACCCCGTCCTGCAGCCATCCCAATCCCCGCAGACCCCATACAACCACTGAACACGCCACCACCGTTCATAGTCGGAGTGGCCAACACGAACCTGTGGGGACAGGTGAAACCACAGCTGGCGGAACCACCCGAGAAGTTCAAAGGAGAGTCCAATGACGTGGACCGATTCCTCAATCAGTGCAAAGACTACTTTAACGTATTCCCGCAGCAATTCACAATGAACGTGCATGGACAAAGCCCTAACCGGGTGGTGTTCTGCACGTTCCGACTCGCGGACAAAGCATTACATTGGTGGAATCACGCACGAGACGAATACTATGACGAGACATGCGGATACCTGCGATATCCGGTGTGGCAAATGTTCCGACAAATAATCGAAGACCAGTTCCGGACGGACATGGAAATAGAACTCAAACTACAGGAGTTCAAGCGCATCCGACAGAACACCTACAAGTTGGCAAAAGAGTTCTTCCGAGACTTCGAACGGTTAGCAAAAGAGTCTGGAAAACGCCACAACGAGGAGTACATGATCGAAATACTCAAACCGGCCATCCACAAAAACATAAAACTGCGATACATGCTACTGGAACTGCACTCCCATGAACGTACGGAGAATGGAAGTTCCAAGTTGAACAGATGGACTATAACTACTGGGTAGGACTGGCAGAAGACGCGGGCAGAAGCCAAGGGGTGCAGGGTCAGCAGAACAAGGGAACAGGAAAAGCTGGAAGCCCCGGGAATTCCCAGAACGACAAGAAGACAGGCACAGGCACCACGTATGGGGGCCAAGGCCAACCCATGGAGATAGATCATCTCCGCAAAGAAGGGTGATGCTTCTGCTGCGGTCACAAGGGACACCGGAAGCAGGACAACAAGTGCCCCAAGGACAAAAGCACTTGGCTCGTCAAACACCAGCCCAAGTTCTCCAGAGCCCAAATTCATGCCATGTATCAGCAAGTAGTCAGAGAAGAAGAACAGGAGGCCTCCACGTCAAAAGTCGAGGAGGTAAAAGACGAGCCGGCGGCGTAAGCGACAAACGCGCATCGGCTATGGACTTAATTTCATTTAGTGGTGCGTCACAGAAACCTGCAGGTTGAGCTAATGTACCGCATGTAGTATCTTGAGGCAATGACACAATTTTCACGCAATCACAAAATGAAATTAACAAGTCGCATAAAAGCAACGGTGTACAGGGGATTACCACCGTGCTTGAAGAAGAACCCCACTCAAGATCCTCGGCCACCGGTGCGAAAGCACAAGCAGCTAACGCTGCGCAAGGTGGTGGGACACATGGGATCAAGGTCAACATCGCTCCGTGGTGGGTAGGTACCGGTGCAGAAAACAGAGAAAGAGCGGCTGAGCTAGTAGTGGGCAAGGATACCTCCAGGTGGGAGAGGAACGGTGCAGGACCTCGCCCGAAGGCAGAACATACGTGCCTGCCCTATGCAGCCAACTACCCCAACACGACGGAGCTGCAAGAGGAAACGCGAATCCCCATCAAGAAAACCGCTGCCCCGCAAAAAACAGTCAAGACGCCCAGGGACCCCAGCCCTCCATACCAAGTACGTCTACCCTCTTCATCACTAACACATAATGGCACCGAGGGCTCATGTTCCTTGGTGGGCAGGTCGGTGGGACCATTATGTGATTCTTCTAGTTCCAATAAAAATATTGTTTCCCTTGAAGAAGTACCAGATGAGGAAGACGATTACAGCTATCAACAAAGCCTTAAGACATGAGGGGAAGACCCGGTGATCCACACCGAGGAGTACCCAGAAGACTATGAAGTAACGGAGCTGGAGGAAGAATACTACGATGACAAATGGGACAAAGGATGGCTCAAACCCCACAGCACCGAATGGGTAAGGCACAAGATGAGACAAGAAAAGACCATGGAGGGAAAACTCGCAACTCTTCGGATGTGGGTACACCCAAGGCACCTCATAGAGGTAGACGAGGATCTCGTCCTAGACCTAATCGGATCCTCCAAGGAGACCTACAGACAGCAAGAACAATGCTTACAAAATATGGAAAATCTATGAGTTCCCCCCCAGTACATTCGGGGAGGAAGGGGCAGGAGTGTCAATATCTGGGTGCAAATTGAAACCCTGGACACAAGCCAAGTATGGGCCATAGACGCCTTGGTGGACAGCGGATGCACTGGGAGCTGCATAAACCGATCCTTCGTACAAGAACACCAGCTTAACACAGTGAAGCTCGCTAAAGCCCAAGCAGTCTACAATGCCGATGGCAGTCGAAACAAAGGAGGAGATATAGAAGAAATAGTGGAACTCCGAATGACGATCGGAGACCACCACGAAAAAATCGACCTTGCCGTCGTGGACCTAGGAAATGTACCCATGTTCCTAGGACATGACTGGCTCAAACGCCACAATCCTATCATCGACTGGAAGACAGGAGCAGTAACACTAGCCCGATGCGCCTGCCGCAAAGTACCATTCCTGTTACCAGATGAAGACCCCGAGCAACGGTGGGGAACGGAGGTGGAAGAAGGAGACACCATACTCATGATAGACTTCGAAGAAGCCTTTCACGTACGAGCAATGGGGAGTAAGGCAAACGAATTAGCCACCAAAGCCAATCAAGCCAAGGAAGCGAAGACGTTCGAGGAAATAGTACCAGAATCGTACCGAGAATTCTGAGACGTATTCGCGAAGGAAAACTTTGATGAGCTACCACCCCAAAAGCCATAGGATCATGCCATCAAATTGGTCCCTAACACAAACACGAGCCTAGACTGCAAAGTCTACCCCCTTAATCCCACAGAACAAGAGGAGTTG